GAGCAGAAAGTATGACAAAAATTGAACAAGGTGCTAAGAAATCCAACATTGAAAACAAAAAAGAATGCAGGAGTATTCTGAAATGTTAACATTCCTATATGACAATAAAAGTTGAACAATCTCAGCACAAATGAAAAAAAAAAACTTTAAACAGTAAAGATATGGTTCAACCTACAAATCTTGAAAATGCCATGGATAGAGCATGTGACAAGGAAATTCTAAAGAGAATTGGAAATACACCCCTGGTCAAAATCTTAAGACCAGATTAAAAAAAATAAATAAAACACTGTTACTTTAATCAAAATATATTTGTGAAACATTTACATTTAATTAGAAAATGTAGTTTATCAACAAGTGAACATTTTAAGCTTTTAATTGATTAATTTAAACAAACGTTGAAAAAAGGATTTTTGTATAAAAGAAAAAAAGTTGTTAATAAATCTCAAAGAGACAACTGACATTCTAGAGACATAGTGAGGAAAAAAGACTTGTAGAATTTGACACTCACAAGACAGAGTGAAGGCAAGAGAAGCAGATCAAAGAATCAAGTAACCTAATTGAAAATGCACAGCAAATGGATGGACAAATATGTACTATAACGATAAGAAGTGTCATAAACAACCAAGTATTATCGAGAGCAACAAAAGACAAGAAGCTGTGGAGAGCCATGATCACCCATAGGTTTTCATTCCCTGGTCCTCTGGATGGGTTCAAAATGTATCTTTCTTCCTCATCTCTAATAGCTGTTTCCTCATGATTAAATATTTGGCATACAGTAATAATTCCGTCTGAAATCAATAACATTTTTTATTAAAACAATTTTTCAGAAAACACGTTTCTCAATTCAACTATTATTTTCTTTCGTGTATTCATAGGAGTTTCCTTCCTAACCTTTTGTTCGAAGTAATGTGGAACATCAGCATCATGATTATATCATTATGTTCTCTTCGAGTTACACGTACTACCCACTCTATTTTGGCTTGCTTTTGAAATTCAAGTTGTATGGGTTCTGTTATTTGATACAGTTCGGTGTGACTCTGTAGCGCCAGTCAACAAAGTTAAAAGAAGGGTGGTCTCTGCGAAAACATGTTTAATTTGCTTACAACTAAAATGCAATGTCAATCGTTATCTTTTGTCTACTTAGTTCCTGTTAATTTTTTGTTCTCGCTCCTTAATAATGGTTTTCTTTTTGTTACATTATTTCAAACTCATTAATTCCTATAGTCTTAGTGGCTTTGTTGCCTTACGTGGGGTTAAGTTATTTTAAAAAAATAACAGAAGAAAAGTAAGAAGGGAACAGGAAATCACTACATTTCCAAAGAATGGACATCTCAATGGACTGTTTAAAGATTTTAACGAAAGGGAGGCTGTGGCGAATTATGAAAAGACGTAGCGCTTAAAGTAGGCAGAATGAAGCTGTGCATAAAATGTCACTAGTTAATTTAGGAATAGGATTTATGATGGTTAAAGTAGTGAAATTGTTGTATCCTTAGGTTGCAAACAGACAAAGTTGGTACTCAAGTGAAAGGAACAGCAACACGGGCGTAGATGAAAGAAATAGAGGTTTATTGGAAAAGAGAATACACTACTGAAAGACAAGGAATCGGGTGGCAGGCTAGTAATTCCCGAAACAAGTCTATTTACCTTATCTCTCCGCCAGGCAGGATGTGGCACAAGGCCGTTTTTTAATGTGGAGTAAAACAGAGCTCGTAGGCTCGGGCAAAAATTCCCCGTAAAAACGGAGTCGGGTAGCTGTCTACCACCCCGGATGAGAATCAGCCTTCGGCATAGCCTCGTCTGGGTTCCTCTCCGCCCGAAGGCAGAGAGTTCGACTAGCTTAGCTGGAGACGAATCTTTGACTAATTGCCGAAGCAAGGTTATTTACCTCAACACCCCGCGTGGCAGGATGTGACACAAGGCCGTTATTTAATACGAGGTAAAAACCGAGGCCGTAGGCTCGGACAAAAATTCCCCGTAGACCCCTAAAAATCGGGGTTGGGTAGCTGTCTACCACCCCAGACGAGACTCTGCCCTTCGGCATAGCCTCGTCTGGGTTCCTCTCCGCCCGAAGGCAGAGAGTTCGTCTAGATTAGCTGGAGACGAAGCAAGTTCGCCAGGTATATCCTGTGTACAATATATATATATATATATATATATATATATATATATATATATATATATAGTCTGTCCACAATAGGCGATAGGGAGAGTGGGACATTCCATTACAATAGAAATTATTTTATCTTTTTTTATCATTTTTCTTTCTTTTCCATCTTTTAAATATTCACAGATTTAATCACGCTAATATTTCATAAACGTGAAGCACGACTGAGAGCAGGAAGCTGTGGAAAACCATGACCATGGAGATAGCCACGGAAAAGTAATTAATATATTTCTGCATCGTCGTCAGAAATCCAGACAAAATGTCTCGTGCCTGGCGTGTCACGAAACAGCGAAGACGCGAGCGTATGTGCGAGAAATTGGATCAATCATTTCTCCAAAAACGCTTTGGCACTAACAATAATTCTTTTTCGATTTGAAGCTAGACAGCAACAACAACAACACACACACACACACACACACACACACACACACACACATATATATATATATATATGTATATATATATATATATTTTCGGATCACATATAGATTGAAAAATTATTAGTAACGCATAGTAATTCAGAATACAATAGCCACTAACAGAAATGCATTTCAAATAATCATAGCTTTATTATTTATTATTGGTCATTTGCACGAGAAACATACCAGCTAACTCGCTTAGGTCATTTGTGCAGATACAGTGACGCCTCTAGAAATAAAATGCCTTCCTAAATTGATAATTGAATAGGTTTTTACTTCCTTTTTTCTGTACCTTCTCGCCGCAGATGCACTTACGAGTGAACCTGTTAATCATCGACAAGATGCCCTCTGGCACCTACGATGCACTCAACGGAAGTCGCTATCCGCCCATCTTTACGGCGTCGTTCTCAGCCGCATATGCGACTGCTTCATCGCCAAATGAGGCTCCCGCATCTGGAAATGCAACAGAGGAACAGGAAGAATGACGTAATTAAATTGATAACGCGATAATCGAAAACAGAACGATGATTGGACGAAATGGGAAAAGACTGCTTTCCAGAAGAGAGCTATCTAAACCTAATTTCCCCTCTGGCTAAAAACAGTTTCAATCATATATATATATATATATATATATATATATATGTGTGTGTGTGTGTGTGTGTGTGTGTGTATAAAACACCGAATATTGTGTTTCGCCAAAAAACAAAAACAGTCGAATTTCTGGAGGAAAACACTTTTTGTTATTAAAGTTCTCAATATTAAGACATAAAGATTATTAGTAAACAAATGAAATAAAATGTTAACTTATCTTCTCGACTCAGAGTTTTGCAGAAATTCGATCGGTTGTGTAGAAATCCGTTTGAATAGTTTGCGCGCACGGATTCATCAACGCGCACCACAGTCCACAGAGTCAGACACACACGCATGCAGATACATACACACGCATCAGCACTTACACATTCACGCACATACACATACATGATTAAACACAGTCACGTATATACATCGACACCCACATCAAAACAGGCACACATCCACGATAGCATACAGCTCTACACATGCGATTGGTAGATTGTCCCCATTTTATATTTTTAATTTCGCGCATGCGCGTTGCTTGTTTTTGATTTTGTTGACTGGAAAGTATCAGTTGGGCACTCTCTGTGAGAAAAAGAGCATCATGACGCAATTCACTCAGCCAGATGTTTAGAAACGGCATGCTGTACTTCTTGGCATTCGCACCGGAAGTTCCAATACGAACATTTCAGAGAGTTTGGGTGTCGATCTGAGGACAGTGTAGAGGATTCGGAAACAGCTGGATGAGTCTAATGGTGATTACGAATGCACGGCAGTTCGGAAAACGCACTCTGGTTGTTCTGATAAGAAAAGAACTCTCGAATTTGTTGGTGAGAGCCTCAGATTCAACACGGAGGCCTACACCTAGCCTTCTGGGTCAAGACTGTGGGTGATGGAAGACCCTATATCTGGCAATAGGACTCTGCACCGTGTCGCACAAGCAAGAGATCCCAGTCATGGCTGTCAGACAATTTCTGCGACTATATCACCCCCTTGCATCTGGCCACCTAACTTCCTAGACTGCAACACCCGTTATTTTGTGCGAGTCACAGTTGATCGAGAGACCAAGAAAACTTCTTGTAAGACTAAAGATAAAGAACTGAAGGCAAGGATTATGGCAGCATTGACCAACATAAACATGGGGACCGTCCAGAAGAGTTTCAGGAGATTCCGAAGTTGTCTGCAGGCTGTGGTTAAAGCTAATGGCAATTGTATTGAATATATTTACTCTTTAGTATTTAAAGATATTTTGGTGTAATTTTGGTAAATATATCTGTTAAAATGAGATGTCAGTGTTATTTTCATTTTTGCATAATTTAGGCAACAATTTATCCATCGTAGATTCACACACACACACACACACACACACACACACACACACACACACACACACACACACACACAGAGAGACATACACACACGTATATCCATATTTAACATAAAGTCGTGCCCACACAGATCAAATAACACATATTTACTTATCAATATAGTTTCCAGCTGTGCTGGTCAAACTCTCTACCTCCGGGCAGAGAGGATCCGCAGACGGGGCTATGTCGAAGGGCAGAGTCTCGTTTCGGAAAACAGCTATCCGACCCCGTTTTATACGGGGAATTTTTGGCCGAGCCTACGGGCTCGGATTACCCTACATTAAACTCGGCCTTCTGCTACATCTTACTTCGTAGGGAGTTTGTTATATATATCAACATAGATATTTGCAGTCCTATATAAAATGCAACACCCACAGATTTTTATACATTCATACTCAGTCGTATAAGGATCAGGCCCTTTTTCTTTTAGTATATATATACGTGTATATATATTAGCTATTATCAATCATTGAAAACGGAAGTGAAAACAGAGTGAAAGAAGAAGCAAGCTCTGAAGAAAAATGAATAAGAACTGATAGTGGATGTGACGGCCATTTGCAAAAGGAAAGTTCTTGGTTTTATAAAATAAGAAAACTGTAACATAACTTTATTTGAAAACTTCATTTAATTTTTATATTATTTCAATAAATTAAAATTCCACCCTCTTCATATTTATATTAGTTTAAAACGATACTCCTTGGGGAAATTAAATCAATTTGTTTTTCAGTATCTGTCTTGCTGTTTTGCTGCTTAATTTACATGTTATTGTCCATCCTTAGGCACACAAAGCATTAAATTTGTATCTGTCTATATTTCTGAGATGAGGTATTATGTAAACTATTTACATTATTCGGTATATTGTCCTGATCTTTGTCGCCATATTTATTACAACGTTTCGGCCCTTCAGTATCTGCATATATTTCTGAGATGATGTATTATGTACACTATTTAGATTATTCGGTCTATTGTCCTCATCTTTGTCGCCATATTTATCACAACGTTTCGGCCGTTCAGTATCTGTATATATTTCTGAGATGAGTTATGATGTACACTATTTAGATTATTCGGACTATTGTCCTCATCTTTGTCGCTATATTTATTACAACGTTTCGGCCGTTGTATGTTCCGGCCTTCTTCAGGTAGGTGAAATGTCGAACTGAACTTTATTTCGCTCACTGGGGTAGACTGTTCTAGTTCCACGTGCCATGTCTAATCGATGTCAGTTATCTCCTATTAATTCCCCTCTCAAAGTTTGAATTCACATTCTTTGGGCCCTATCACTGGATCTAACTAACGCCTCAAGGACACATGGCACAGTGGATAAAGGCGTAAGTTAGATCCAGAGACAGGACCCGAAGTGTGTGAGTTCAATACCTGGTTAAGGCAGTGGAGAACTTGGAGAGGAGAATTAACAGGAGATAACTGATAATTGACATCCATTAAACATGGCACGTGGAACTAGAACAGTTTACCCCAGTGAGCGAAATAAAGGGTTCAGTTCGACATTCCAACCACCTGAAGAAGGCTGGAGCCTACAACGGCCGAAACGTTGTAATAAACATGGCGACAAAGATAAGAAGAATAGTTCGAATAATGTAAATAGTGAAACAATTTGTTTTTCTCAAATAAAAATACCATTTACTGAAACTCTACCCTGAATCGTAAAATAAAAAAATGCAATAAAGCTATACAACTATTTCATTAAAAAAGCTTTTAGTTGCTTTTATAAGTAAGACATATTAAGGTCAATATTGTCTTTAGAAAAAAAAAGTTCGTTGAATAATGAATTTTAAATCATTTACAATTCTGTATTAATTTCACGCTTTTAGATGATATTATTATTAAGTAAAAACTACATTTACTAATCATAAATGAAAAAGCTTAGTACAATTCATCAAATACCAATATATTAAAATGAATTTTGATTTTTTTTATGCGTATAAAAGTACTGAGAATTTTTTTCACACACGGGCGACCATATACAACGTTATCAGAAAATAAGTGAAATATCTATAGTAAATTTAAAGCCCAAAGTATTTAAAATTCAATAAAACATTAGATTACGGAGAATATTCTCTGAAATTCTTAACCTTACTGAGTAGTTGAAATATATATATATATATATAAAGCGCTCACTTACATTTTAACGCTTCAATCCCTATTGATACATAATATCAATCTGACATCAAGCTTTCAAAACTGTTAAACGCTTAAATAAACAGCTACTGTCGGGTTAAAAAAGCATTTCTGTGATATTTAAAACTTATAAGTAAATAATAGTTGTTTGAAATCAGATTAATTATATATTTTGTCAGCTTTCAAATAAAGTTTCAGAAAAGTATATTGTATTTTTAGAAGATCTTTTTAATAAAGATAATTACATTAAAATCTGGATAGCTCTTAGCTGGCTGATGTTGACACGCGATGTTCATGCAATTCAAGAATACTACGTTTTTGCTTGTGTGAGAAAGGGAATGATAGATGAAAGGAGAGAGAAGTGTCGGGTTTTGTTGTAATAAAATGTTTCACTTTTCCCTATTACCTATTGTGGACTGACTATATAAGTAATATATGTAGTGTGCACAGGACATACCAGAGTCTGTCTATCTGTCTGACTGGCTTCAGGAAGTGTTAGTCGACTCCCTGTCTTTCAATAGTGTATTCTCTTTTACAATAAACCTCTCTTTCTTTCATCTACGCCCGTGTTACTGTTCCTTTCACTCGAGTACCACCTTTGTCTGTTTGTAACCTTTTTAAGGATACAACAGGTTTAATACAGTATATGATTTCAATCGCAAAGTAAAAATACTGTGCCGATCAAATCGTTATTCTGAGAGAATCTACGTCTTCATGGTCATTATCTTGATTTAACATCTTTTAAAATCTGCCTTCATTCAGATCGTAGTAATACTTTCTTGGCATTGCCATCATTCGCATGGCGAACCGTGGTTGCTGCATATCAAAGCGCCTGACCGGTTGCCTATCTAGCTTGAAAGCCGGAAAGGTATTCCTGCGTAGCGCGTCTTAAACAAGTAGATCTAGCGGAACCTATCGCTCTTCAAATCAAACCACAGCTGAAGGCTCGCCTTTGTCACTGAAACGTGGCCATTGATTCAATTGGGGGTAATTCTTGTCCTGGTTGTTGATTTCTGAAACGAACCGCCCAGCGAAGCAATATCATCATTCCATTGGCTGCACACATCTGAAACGAAGAAAAAGTTCAAAAGGAAAGAAAAAAAGTAAAATCAGTTTCCTAAGTTCATTGCTAATAATGACGATTATATTATATTAATTATATCATATTATTGTCGAATAAATGTAAAGCTTATATCAGGTCATATCATAAGCAATGTCCGAATTTTGTACCTGAAAAAAAAATTCTCTTTAGAAATTATACATCCACATTTAGCTCTATATATAAAATTCCGAGACTTCTGTTAGTCCGTCCTTCACATCCTCGAAAATAGTCATTTCTTACTGATCGAGACCAATTTTGGTGGGGGAGGGGGGAAGTGCAAACAGGTCAAGGGGTAGAAAGTTCATTCAGTTTGAATACGGTGTGGAGCTTAGTACAGTAAAATTTCATTTATATTTTTGAAAAATTAAGTTTTATCATTTAACATACAAAATACACCCAGTATTTGTCTATATTTCTGAAATGAAGTATTATGTACACTATATACATTATTGTAATAATGTATATAGTGAAAATACTCCCACCATATTAACAATTCATGATTAAAATATCAAATACTTATTTATAAAAATGCTATATTGTTTTTATCATCTCTTTTCTTTACGCTTTCATACATATTTCATTCTGATTGTTTACTGGATAACTTTTTTAAAAGATTAATGGCTAATATATTTATGTATGATTCTATCTATCTATACACACACACACACACACACACACACACACACACACACACACACACATATATATATGCATGTGTGTGTATGTGTGTGTGTGTTAATAAATGCACAGATACGTTTGATTTACGACTCGAGTTTCGTTGTTTACCCAAGTTATCAGGCACAAGATATAGCTTATTTGCTTACCAGCGTATGCACGCCAGCACACGCGTATACGGTCGATAATATCTAGTTATCTCATTTACCTAACCCTATACCTCTCTCTCTCTCTCTATATATATATATATATGTAAATATATATATATATATATATATATATATATATATATATATATATATATATATATATATATATATATATATATATATATATACATATATATATATATATATATATATATATATATATATATATATATATATATATATATATATATATATATATATATATATATATATATATATATATATATATAACTAAAAAAGTATGTTACTTCCGTTAGTCCGTCCGTCACACCCTCTAAAATACATTGACTGATCGAAACTAATTCTGGGGAAAAGTCCGAACAGGTAAGTAGGTACAAAGTTTACACAGTTTTACTAGGGTACGTAGCTTAAATTTTCCTTAATTTGGGGGGAAAAATTAAAAGTTTTATTATTTAACATACATAATACGCTCACTATTTAAAGACAAATTAATGATTAAAATAACAAATGCTTGTTTAATAATAACGCAATATTGTTTTTAGCATATCTTTTCTTTAAATTTTTATATATACAAATATCTGGTTTGCAGTTTGCCCCGCGTTTGTGAGAACTCTGAACGAATTACAAGGCCAAATGCTTCAAAAATTGGAAATTGGCCCCAGAAAGAAATATTTACATATGGCCAGTTGTATGTTGTATACTCAAGAGTAAGAAATCCTAAAAATTTATTTTTTGCTGTTAAAAAGAATAAATCTTATTAAAAAATATTGTTTAGCATGATGTCCTATAAAATTAAATTAAATTAAAGAAATTATTAAACCGCGAAGTAGGGTTTTTGTCAAAGTATTTTTCCAAACAAATCATCTTATTCAAATTTCATCGAATGGTTTGCGAAATTGAAGGAAACATAGAGTTTGTAAATCTGGACAAAAATGTTTGCGATAATTTCAATAATACGAAATACTGTGAGGATTTCAATACACGACACTGTGTTTCAAAAAAGTAGTATTTTAAATTATTCGGAAAGTAAGTTAGTATTTTGGATATGAAATGAAAATCCGTTCAAATATAAAAAAGAAAAAAGAAAAATAGTAATGACAAAATCTAGACGAAAGTTCGTTCGATGTAATTTAAAAAATCTATTCCTTTGTTCACTGGTAATAATGGCGAATATATTCTTGTCAAATAAATGCAAACCTCTAATAATGACATTTCATATGCAATGTCCAAATTGGTTTACTGAAATTAGAATTTATTCATTAACATATATTCTGTAATGAGTAATACCTTCATTCCAATTTTTTCAAAAGGTTTATAAAACCATTTTTCTAAAAAGAATTTTAGTTTGGAAGAAATTATATAAAAAGACTTGTGATTCAACAATGAATGTCATTCTAATACAATCATACGAAATCTATGACTACTTCTCTGCAACCCAACGTAACCTTATTTTATGCAGTTTACAGATGACT